GGCGTCCGGGGATCGCGCCGCAGGAAACCGCGGGGCGTTGCCATTGGCATCGCCGTCGCCACCGTCGCCGCTGCCTCTGTCGCCGTCTCCGTCGCCTGTCGCCGTCGCCGTTGTCGTCGTCGTCGTCGTCGTCGTCGTCGTCGTCGTCGTCGTCGTCGTCGTCGTCGTCGTCGTCGTCATCGTTTTCGTCCTCGTCGGCGGGGGTCGGATTTGATCTGCGCCGTTTTGCTGGTGGGTGCGCAGTCGTCGGCGCGGCTGGACTAGCTCTGAAGTCTTGGTCGCAGAGCGCTTGGAGACAGGTCGTCTGGGGGCCGAGTGGAGGGGCGGGGGCCTCGTGGGGCGCTGCGAGCTACAATGGCGGCGTCTGTGAGTCAGCATAGCACGGGCGTGGTCGCCGTTCGCCAGGTGGCCGCTAGAAACCAATGCGAACGCAAGGTGCGCCGCGGTCGCTGTGTGAGGTTCGTAGTTCGGGGGGATTTTTGAAAATCGAGCTGCGGGGGCAGGTCTGGTCCGCCCCCATCCCAGAAAGGGGCGGCAGCGGGCAAAAGTGGAAGTAGGGCAACGCGACAGGAACTAACGGATGCCAGAATTGCTGGGTGGACGGGGGCCTGGTCGCAGTTTGGTTTTGAGCAAGGTCGAGGTGGGGGTGGGCGTTGTTTCGAGAGTATGACAGTGATGGCTTGGTCCAGGTGTCACAAAAGCGTCTGCCTAAAATTCGCTAGGGGTGATCAGGTAATGTCTTGGGAAAATCTCGAAGACAACATTGCCGATTCTGACATCTCCGCTTCCGCGCCCTGGAGGTGCCCGTTCCCTGGGCCCCCCCAGCGCCGATGTGGCGACGGGCTCGCGCCCGTTCTGGCTGTCCGCAAAAGAGGGCGGCGAAACCGAACGCGACTTTGTCGCCGAGCGGCCAGCTTTCCCACCGCAGTGCAAGCGTGGACGCTTATGGCGCTCGTCGGGGGCCCCGGGGAACAGGCGCCGTGAGGGCGATGGTCAGGTTCGTTTTTTCGGTTTGTTTTGTTTAGCGGATTTTCGGAATTTGTTCCGAACGTTCCTGGCGAAAGCTGGGCGAATGTATTTTTAATTTTGGTAGGCAAAACCACAAGTTTCAACTCTTGCCGCAATTTCCCCGGTACAGTTCAATGCTGAAAACTCCACGAGGTGTCAGAATCCAGCGCCAACACCATCACGACGCGAACCTGCTGCACCGAGACCCGCAGGCACTGCTGAGGTGTGTCGGGGGAGGGGGCGCGGGGCCCAGCGCGTGGAGGAGGATCAGGTGGGCATGGGCCCACTCTTCCGCGCAGCCGTCCAGGTGTCGCGCGGAAGGCCGGTGGAGTCCGCCGGAGATCGCCGAAGACCGCCGAAGGCCGCCGAAGACCGTCAGAAGGCAACCGGAAGCGGCCGAAGAGCGCCCGAGGCCGACAGGCAACGAGGGGTCCATCTGTCGGCGTTGCACTGCGAGGGGCCCGCCGTTCCAGCCGCCCGCTGGGCCCCGCTGCCATTCCAGGCAGTCGCGCGTGGCGGCTCAAAACGGATGGCCAGGAGCAGGAGGGCGAGACAGAGCATCGTCATCAGTACCAGCAGCATTCTCATGAAGTCGGGCATGTCCCTCTACACGAGGAAAATTCAAAAATTGTCAACACATAGTCTGGGGACGATTTTCCTATTATTTTTGCCCGGTTTGGAGGATTTTTGGACTATTTTGAATTCTTCCTCCGACGTCCTCCTGTAGGGGGACATGCCCGACTTTACACCATCACCATCTTTGTTGTCGGTGCCCCTGTCGTTATCACTATCGCTCCCATCATCACTGCCAGTGTATCTGCGAGGCCAGGGCCGGGGCCCGTGCCCCGCAGCAGGGGCCCAGGCAGGACTGACTGTTCGCGATCGGACTCGATCCCCAGGCTCCGATTCCGATCTCGATCCGATCCGATCCGGCGCGGACCGGGTCCCTCTCCGGCCTGCGGGGGCAGAACCCGATCGGCGACCCCGAGCGGTCTGACTGCGATCCGATTCCGCGAAGATCCAGGCGCGATCCGATCCGTGGTTGATCAGATCCTTTTTCGTGATCTGATCCAGCTCGGGCTTGCCAGATTGCTACTGCCACTATCTTCTCTTCTCCAGCTTCGAGGCGGGGGGTCACTCTCAGGTGGGGGTCATGCTGCAGCGGGTTGGAAGGGGTCAGAGGCGAGATCGTGTTTTTCGGAAGTCCGAATTCGGTGTGGATTAAATTGAGATGCCGGAAACGACTGCAACCTGTGCGAGAGGTCGAAGGAGCGAACAGCAGCTGCAAACTGTCTGCTGGCAATGCAGCAAGGGTGCGGCAGGACCTTGGATACTCCTTTCAGTTCATCGCTGTACAGACGGGGCTGAGTTTCGGGTCAGTCCAAATTTGGCCATCCGTTGGGCATGAATTGGTCCTGTGTTGGTCCCGCATTGGTCTTTTTGGTCCTACTGGAGCCTCCACCCGTCTCAGGCTCGCGAGCACGGCGTGATT